CAGTTGGGGGGAAATAGGGGAGGGACGGTGGGGGGTGGAGAGCTGGGGAGACAGAGCAAGGGGAGAAATGCCAGAAGTAGATGATGGGGAGGAAGGCAGCAAATCACACTGCCACGTGTGTACCTATGCAACAATTTTGCATGTTCTTCACATGTACCCCAAAACCTAAAATGCAATAAAATAAATAAATGGGGAAAAAAAAGTGGGAGGATATGATCAGAGGGTGTTCTGGGTTGAACAGTGTCCTTGCTCCGCAAATTCACACGTGGACGTTCTAACCTCCAGTACATCAGAAGGTGGCTGTATTTGGAATTGGGGTCGTTGCAGATGTTATTAGTTAGGATAAAGTCATTAGAGGGGACCCTAATCCAGTATGACTGGGATCCTTATAAAAAGGGGAAATTTGGACACAGACAAAGGCACAGAGGAAGAATGCACCGTGAAGCTGAAGGCAGATTAGGGTGATGCTTCCACCGGTCAAGGACTGCCAAAGATTGCCAGCAACCACAGGGAGGTGGGAAGAGGCACAAAACAGATTAAGCTTCTCCCTTCTAGCCCTTGGAAGGAACTACCTCTGCTACATTTTGGGCTGGAACTTCTGGTCTCCAAAACTATGAGCTAAGAAACTTCTGTTGTTCAAGCTGCACAGTTTGTGGTACTTTGTTATGGCGGCCCTAGCAAACAGATCCAGAGGGGTAATGAGGCGGGACGGGGGTAGAGGGTGAGGCCGGGAGATAGAGGAAGCCTTGAAGGCCATTTAAGGACTTTAGCTTTTAGCAGATCCACTTTTTCTTGTGTTGAAATGGGATTTATTCCCAAAATTCAAGCATTATTCAACACCGGAAAACCATCAATATCATTCACATAGTAGGTCCTTTTGTAGCTCATAAGTGTGATGGTTGGGGGTTCAAGTGCATGTGTGAGATGTGCCTCCCTTAAACCTTGTCACAACATCAGCACATTACCCATCTGACACAAACAAGATATACATAATTCACATACAAATGTACCTCAGAATAAAAAAGTCATATAACTATCTTCATAAGCCTTTGACAAAATTAAAAACCTATTTTTTATAATAGATGAGGGGTTCCCCATGTTGCCCGGGCTGGTATCGAACTCCTGGGCTCAAGGTATCCACCCACTTCGGCCTCCCAAAGCGCTAGGATTACAGCCATAAGCCACCATGCCTGGCTCAAAAACTATTCTTTTTTTTTTTTTGAGACAAGAGTCTTGCTTTGCTGCCAGGCAGGAGTGCAGTGGCACAGTCTTGGCTTACTGCAACCTTCTCCACCTGGGCTCAAGCGATTCCCCTGCCTCAGCCTCCTGAGTAGGTGGGACTACAGGTACACGGCACCACACTTGGCTAATTTTTTTGTATTTTAGTAGAGACGGGGTTTCACCACGTTGGCCAGGATGGTCTTGATCTCCTGACCTTGTGATCCGCCCATCTTGGCCTCCCAAAGTACTGGGATTACAGGAGTGAGCCACCCCTGTCAGCTAACGTAGTCTTGATTTAAAGAATAAACTCTTGGCTCAGAATAAACATCTAAAAGAAAA